AACAAATTGTAAGGTAAAATAGTGGATGGATCCCCAACCCTATTTTACCTATTACGGGGACAATAAACGGAGTTACCTCTTGGGCTTATAAAATGAGTGTTCTGTTCGGGAATACGGTTACATACCTTTCAATACTATCTTTAAAATATCGGACATTAAGAAAAAACCGATTATTATATGATATAAATATAGCTGCAATCTCAATGGTCCAAAACGACGTCAACAGAACTTTTAATGCCCCCGCCACGTAATGGCCGGGGCATATAGTGTTACCCTGTTCCGTCATTCCGTCCTTCCGTCCTTCTGTCATTCCGTCATTATCAGTTTCCGTTCATTATCTTAAGAACGGTTGAACACATTCAACTCAAATTTGACATATGGATATGTCATGAGAAAATACAGGTCAAGTTCGAATTTGATCATGGTTCGATGATTTTTTGCAGAGTTATGCCCCTTTTACTTTGAAAATAATATGAAATTTCAGTTTCCATTCATTATCTCCCCAACGGTACAACACATTCAACTCAAACTTGACATATGGATATGTCATGAGAAAATACAGGTCAAGTTCGCATTTGGTTATGGTTCGATGATTTTTGGCAGAGTTATGCCCCTTTTACTTTGAAAATAATATGGAATTTTCAGTTTCCGTTCATTATCTCCCCAACGGTACAACACATTCAACTCAAACTTGACATATGGATATGTCATGAGAAAATACAGGTCAAGTTTGAATTTGGTCATGGTTCGATGATTTTTTGCAGAGTTATGCCCCTTTTACTTTGAAAATAATATGAAATTTTCAGTTTCCGTTCATTATCTCCCTCAAGGTACAACACATTCAACTCAAACGTGACATATGGATGCGTCAAAGGAATGCGCAGGTCAAGTTCAAATTTGGTCATGGCTCAATGATTTTTGGCAGAGTTATGCCCCTTTCACTTTGAAAGTAATATGAAATTTTCAGTTTCCGTTTATTATCTTCCCATTTGACATATGGATATGTTTTTGGAATGCCCAGGCCAAGTTCGAATTTGGTCATGGTTCAATGATTTTTGGCAGAGTAATGCCCCTTTCACTTTGAAAATAATATGAAATTTACAGTTTCTGTTCATTATCTACCCAACAGTGTTACATATTCAACTTTAATTTGACATATGGATATGTCAAAGGAATGGGCAGGTCAAGTTGGAATTTGGTCATGGTTTGATGATATTTTGGCAGAGTTATGTCCCTTTCACTTTGAAAATAATATAGATACATCTTAGGAATAAGCAGTTTAAGTTTGAATTTGGTCATGGTTCAATGATTTTAGACAAACTTATCTTTCCTGAATGTTGGAAAAATTTTGAACTTTCAGTTTCAGCACTCATTCTTTTAGCCATTATTTTGGCTACAAATGGTTTGTGTTAACATTGAAAAGTTTTAAGGGCTTTGAACTTAAAATGAAAAAAAAAAAAATTAATGCACCATCTGAAATTTTGGCTGCATGCGGGAGCATCCGTGGCATGGTGACACATTTCTAGTTAACAAATCATATTCACTTGGTGTAGTACATGTATCATATTCACTGGCCTAGTCTAGAAAAAGATTGAGACACATATATATGTCCATACATCGTAGACTGTTAATTACGCTTGCGTATTAAAAAGAAACTATAATTGCATTTTGTTCTTTATGCCATATTTCTCGATTAAAAAATCACTTTACTGTTATACCTTACGGCTATAGTCTGATTTTATTGACCTGTCAATTATGAATACATTATAGGACTCATTTAAATATTCGATCTCACTTCGGTTTGGTCCGTGTAGTTTACGAGAATTAATGTGGGGTATATTAATCATGTTTTCAAAGTCACGCCAGCTTAAAGTGAAGGTTTTCATCAGTTCACAATAGGACAGTCGGTAAAGAGAATGCCTGATAATTGAGAGGTCTGTGGTTCGATCCTTACTGTTGGCCTTTATTCATTTTTGCAGTATATTTTAAAGGAACATATTTGTTGTGTGTTTTACGGCATTGAAAAGCATTTATTGATTTTAATCCGTTTTAATTTTAAATATGAATTCTTAAAGCATGTTTTTTTAAAAAGAGTATAGACTTACAAAAAATTAAGTAAAACATAATAAACAAAATGAACAACATAAGATAATCATATATAGCTCCAATGATGTTGAACGTATTAATAAGAAAAAAAAAACATGGACCAAAGCGGTCTCGAACTTAAAACACGTGTGATACTTAGATTATAAACTCTTTGCTATAACGCTTAGTACACCTTATTAAGAGATACAAATTAAATTGAATTCCATCGTGAAGCGTACATCACACGGAACTTACCGAAAATCTACCGAAGATTAATATAATGTGTGCATCGACCGTGTAATCAGTATGTAATTGACAGGTTAATAAAACCAAACAATACATCGCTAAGATAAGTATAAACTTAAATAACTGCGCATCGTTCACGTAGTCGTTGCACGTCTGACACGTGAATCTTTTTTCCCACGCTTCAACGAATCAGGCAAAAGATGTACATGTATAAGGTTGTACCTTTTTGATTTTTTTTAATTCTTAGCCTATTTATATGATACAAACAATGATGTTTTATGGTTCAAAATCATGGGGTCTTAGTAATTTCTTTTTTGAATCACTTCATACATGTTGTTGAAAAAGATTTTACAAGTCAACTGTAATGTTTGTAATGATGCAGTTATGGGTGGATTCGGACGATACCCAATGTATATCTACTCATCAAAAATTATATTATATATTGGTTATGTCTGTTAAATAAACAATAGAGATCTTGGATTATGTTACATTATGCTTATATATTATGATACTATCTAGGTAGGAAATTTTGGTTTCAAATATCAGAGAACATTTATTTAGTTATGGATTTGGTTATATTTGGGAGAGCCAAAATGGAATTATTAATGATATTGTTTTTAATCTGTATGTCAATAGATTAAATGATCAATATCTACAGAATCGGAGTGCCAAATGTATGTTTATTAAGCAACTGACATATTATGCTTCTTAAAAACAAAATTTAGTGTTAAACATTATTTATATGTACTGAATATTTTCAAATTTTGAAAATGGTTTTGCTTTATTTGCTTTATTTAAATGTTCCGTTCACAATCTTCCGATAAGATTTATTTCCCATAAAAATATTGAAAAACTAGAAATGTGTCATCATGCCACGGATGCCCCCGCATGCAGCCAAAATTTCAGATGGTGCATTAATTATTTTTTTCATTTTAAGTTCAAAGCCCTTAAAACTTTTCAATGTTAACACAAACCATTTTCATACAATGTTCAAGGCACTGAAATTATTCAGTCTTAACTTTTTAAAAATAGTATATTGCATATTTGTAGCCAAAATTATAAATGGCTAAAGTATGAGGGCTGAAACTGAAAGTTCAAAATTTTTCCAACATTCAGGAAAGATAAGTTTGTCTAAAATCATTGAACCACGACCAAATTCAAACATAAACTGCTTATTCCTAAGATGTATCTATATTATTTTAAAGTGAAAGGGACATAACTCTGCCAAAAATCATCAAACCATGACCAAATTCCAACTTGACCTGCCCATTCCTTTGACATATCCATATGTCAAATTTAAGTTGAATATGTAACACTGTTGGGTAGATAATGAACAGAAACTGTAAATTTAATATTATTTTCAAAGTGAAAGGGGCATTACTCTGCCAAAAATCATTGAACCATAACCAAATTCGAACTTGGCCTTGGCATTCCAAAAACATATCCATATGTCAAATTTGAGTTGAATGTGTTGTACCATTGGGGAGATATTAAACAGAAACTGAAAATTTCATATTACTTTCAAAGTGAAAGGGGCATAACTCTGCCAAAAATCATTGAACCATGACCAAATTTGAACTTGACCTGCGCATTCCTTTGACGCATCCATATGTCAAGTTTGAGTTGAATGTGTTGTACCATTGGGGAGATAATGAACGGAAACTGAAAATTTCATATTGTTTTCAAAGTAAAAGGGGCATAACTCTACCAAAAATCATCGAACCATGACCAAATTCAAACTTGACCTGTATTTTCTCATGACATATCCATATGTCAAGTTTGAGTTGAATGTGTTTTACCGTTGGGGAGATAATGAACGGAAACTGAAAATTTCATATTATTTTCAAAGTAAAAGGGGCATAACTCTGTCAAAAATCATTGAACCATGACCAAATTCGAACTTGACCTGTATTTTCTCATGACATATCCATATGTCAAGTTTGAGTTGAATGTGTTGTACCGTTAAGAAGATAATGAACGGAAACTGAAATTTCATATTATTTTCAATGTAAAAGGGGCATAACTCTGCCAAAAATCATCGAACCATGACCAAATTCGAACTTGATCTGTATTTTCTCATGACATATCCATATGTCAAATTTGAGTTGAATGTATGCAACCGTTCTTAAGATAATGAACGGAAACTGATGATGACGGAATGACACAATGACGGAAGGACGGAAGGACGGAATGACGGAACAGGGTAACACTATATGCCCCGGCCATTACATGGCGGGGGCATAAAAAATCCAATCAGAAAAATATCCAGTTGGGGTCTATTTAAGTCGAATCTTTTTGACAGTTACAATAAATGGAAAAACTCCGATCGTTTTTTTTTAAATGCAATGCTTAAATTGAAGCTTTCACAACAGGAAAATGCATCAAGATACATATTAAACATATGCAACATATACTTATTTCCACAATCTCAGAAAGTAAGAATCAGAGAAATAAATAATGCCGGAAAATAATTGAAATTTGAAAAAAAATGCGTTATTTTAAGTCAATTATTTGTAATTAACCTTAAATAATCCATTATGTGAAATGATTGATAATTGTTTAGCATACTTTTAAATAGCAGTGTGCCACAATTCTGGTGGCTGTTATAACATAATTTTTCAACGAAAAGCACATAAAAGTTATTAAAAGACGTATCACTGTCATATCACATTTAAAGGTTTTAATAATTAATTGAATTGTAAAGGAGCACATTAAAACACCTTGACAAAAGATTTTTTTTATAGAATTGGTCATTCAAGTTGAATAGTTTCATATGTTGCTTCGACACCTTTTGTATCAGGAGTAAGATCTGTATAATGATGAGATTCATCGTCAATGGCATTTATGTCAACTCTTGCTAGTTCAGTTGCTGCTTCTGTTGCTGCTTCAGCTGTTACAGTTTCAATTTTATTTGCAGTAGCATCATCACAGCTCCTAAAAATAGAATTACAACATTTCTTAAGGACCATTCAACTCTCATAAAAGGAACATTTAGATTTTTTTTGATTAAATGGATTATTATTGTAAAATTAAGGTTTTGATATAAATCTGGATGTAAGCAAACTATGTCTGTTGACGATAGATCCATAGGTCCATAAGTTAACAAGGAGAAGTCATATCAAAGGAAATCGTCACATGTGTGTAAGGGCAAAAAGAGGAGCAACATCGATGACGACAAATAATAGTTGATTAATGTTACTATTCAAATTGAAAATCTTTCGTATTATTTAATACTTACATTATATGAGACCACGTTTCCTATGATCTTGTAAGCTGTTAATACCAAGGACAAATCTTACTGGATATCAGAATAAAGCTAAAACATGTATATCTTTTAATAACATATTAACATATCAAATGAGATAAGGAACAATTGTCTTACCTTCCACTGCAACTGACATTACTCCCATCTTTTGCTTTAACATGAAATCAATAAAATAGAAAAATGAATATTCTAAAATACTAAAATGAGTTCATATATATTCACACATGTCGCATTTAAATTGATAAAATGTTGATTTCTCGAACTGCACTGATATACATGTATAAGTCTTCAAAACATTTTAAAAATAAATAATATTTTGTTTTTACTCCGTAAGGGATCTTTGTTTATTTGTTGATCTTATTTGTTTATACATTGGTTTATCTTAATTAAAAAGTTTTTCTAAGTTATTTTGTTAGCTTAGATATATGAAGCTTTTTAGATGAATTAATACATTAATAAAAACAAAACATCTCACCGTCATGAATCGTCTTACGTTTAAACAAGATCGTTATTACTGTAGCGTACACAATAACACAGGCACAAAGGATTCCGACACATATCAACGCTATTGTCAGCTTTCGTGTTTCATTACATCCTGAATACGGTTTTGTAACACATAAAATGTTGTCTGAAACTGTAATGTTTTTATATTATTTCAATTATTGAAGAAAACGATAGTTTTAATAATTTACTGCAGTGTAAGTACTATGTCTTTATCTATACTTCAAACGATAGGGTCATTGATTTTGTTTTACAATCTAATATGGTAAATAAATAATTCTTAACAATTTTGTATTTCATATGTAATTTGACATACGTTTATCGGCAATTAATTTACAATAGTATGATGCTATATTTCGAATGAATATAAAACTTTCATAACTTTAGTTTTAGTTGATTTTTCAATTATAATGTTACCTGTTGACTAACAATTATGCACATTTCTTGAATGTTCTAAAATGATAGTTTGAAAAAGTTTGCAAGAAATAAAAGCGGAATATTTTAGTTTTAATAGTTATTTAAATATTATGTGAGATGTTTATACCGATTTCCTTTTACAGATAGATAGATAATGTATTGACGTATACATTCAGTACATAGTCATTATATATTTATTACTGTTGAGCTTGAAGTAAGGCAAAACATGATTTATCTTTTTCAGCAATCACAACATTCTGAAAATTGTAAATTGTTATTTGTGCAATATATCCATTTGTTTATGTAGTAATTGGTTTTGAACTGGTTTTGAACTGACAAATAATCTGAATTTCGCACATGGATAAATTGTTAAAAGTAACCAAATATTCTGAGAAACAATTGTTTTGGGGGTTTGTGTCTGTATATAGTCAATCTGCCATTTTAAGTTATTCCTATATTAAGATGCATACACGATTCAATATTGAATTTTTTAAGTTTGATGAAATGACTTATATGTTGAATTTGAAATGATTGATTGTAATAAACACAAATAAAAAAAACCCCCGCACATTTAAAAGAAAACACTAAAATAGAGAAAAACGGGAGTTATATATCTTTATATCTTATAAAATTTACTTGTACTTTTTTGTTTGTTTGCTTTGTTTCAAACAGTGTTACATTGACATATAAAAATCTAGAAACAAAGTAATCCCTCGGAAGCATTAATAACAACAAAATTACATGAAATTTGCAGACTCGGGACATGAAGGTTCATGAATAAGTGCAACATCCCTCACGACCCCCAGCACCAACTTGAGCGGCACTAAATTATCTACACTTACTCGTGCTGGCAATAATGATCCCGAAGGACTAGAAAAATATATCAACACTAAAGTGAAGTACGGGGAAACAGCTTCCACAGTACTTGACACCTGCTGTTGATATAAAGACAGGACTTCTTACATGAAAAAATAAGAATTCTTTTAGTTCGGTAACCTTGCTAAAACAAATTAGAATGAAGATCAACAAGCCAAAGGCAACGTTCACAGGACACAGTCCTCAACATTCCCAGCCACAACAGCAGGGCGCCCAGACCGCACAAAACCAGAATTGAGAGGGGACACAAGGGCGGCGTGGAGGGAAACACATTAAGTGAAACAATAAAAAAGGGGCCAAATGTTAATTAAAGGAATAAGGGGTGCAAGGGGCAAGACGGAAGTGGGAAATCTGGGTGAAAAAGGGAGCGGGTGGGTCGAAAGAAAACACTTACCGTTAACGATAATTTAAAAAAGGAAGACATCGCAAAACATGCAAACATTTAAAACATTTTAAAAATACACACATGTGAAACACGGGAAGGAACACAGAGGGGTACCGCCTTGGAACGGTCAGTGGTAGCTACACCACTGGGGAGTTTAAACCTGTTTGAGGCGCGCAAAACCTCGCTCCTAGCCCCAATATGTTACTTTATGACAAGACAGTGTAAATAAAACAAACGAATCCCCACCAAGTAAAGTTCTATTAGTTACAATAAACGAAATAAATAAAACACTAACATAATCGTGTAAATATGTTCAAAAAGGCTAGAGCCTTATTAACATGAAGAAAGTACTTGATGCCTTAAAGGAAAGCATACGATCATAAAAAAAGATATACAGGGGCCGACGGAGCAAGACAGAAGACAAACATTAAAACAATTCAGTCTCAAAGGGCTTTAAGAACTAGTCATTATAGAGTCTTCCACTTGGTCCGTCAGATGTAATCAAAAGAGGAAAGTGAAGCGTCCAACTGTAAAACTGTAAGACACCAAGCATGCGGCATGTCTTTAAAAAATTGAACATAACCTCTTTTAATCAAAACGCTGGAGATTATAGTTTATAAAAGGAAAATAATGTTCATTATATCATGTAGAAAAAAACGGATCCCTGAAAACGTCGAAGTTGCTACAATTGAGAATGCTGAAGTGCCTGATTTTACTGTTTGATCGAGTCTGTTCATTGGAAAAATGCAAGCTATCTTCCATTCTTCCTAGCACCGAATTTTGAAATTAGAACTTTGAAAGTAGTTATAGGTTTTGAAGTCTGCATATTATACACAGATAAAATGTCAACCACACGCAGTCGGCGCATGGCTTAGATAGTATATATGTACATAACCACGCCCAGTTATTTTTATAAATAAAATTTTTTGTCACTAATAAAATATCTTTTCACTCAAAATATTTTTAAAACATCTTATTTTCAATAAAACAACAAGGTAAAGTTGATTTTAAAAATTGCATCCATATATGCTATAAATATAGTAAAGGTAGAAAGGTTCGACAGCGGAACTACCACCAGGTCTTATTTTACCTCCCAAATCTTTGTTAATAATTATTGTCAACTAAAGTGCAATCTTATCAGAAATAATTTCTTTTTCGAAAAATGTACACTATTAGACCAGTTGGTACGACAAAAGATGGAATTTTAAAGCGAAAATACACTTTTTGTCTAGGTCGGACATCGCTTTACCGAGCCGTAAGGAGAGGATTTTGAACATAAATCAATCTTTTTTATAATAACAAACTAATGTCAGTGCATGCAAACAGTTGGTTGAAAAATAAAAGGCAGCTATTATACTATCGTTTACCGGTTCAAATCTAATCCAAAACGTTTGTAGGTAGGCACTTTCAATAGTTATTTGCACTAACCAACTGATAACATGTATATTAATCCTGATCCGGATATTCAAAGCACGCATGCTCGATTATCCGCTGTTATCCAACTTCGCTCAATCTTTACTATGCGAAACGGGATACGCATCAGGTATATCCGGGTCAGGAATTGTATACTTGTAATGACGGGACATTTATGAAGTTATTGCAAATAACTATTGAAAGTGGCCATGTATACTATCCAAGCGACGTACCGACTGTCTTTGATGCCAACAGAGAAATATCAAAAGCAAGCAACATATCCTTAGGGTAATTGTAAAGGGGTTTAGCATTTGAATTCTGGAACTGGAACCAACCATCCAGAAAAAGCCAAATAGAAAGAAACTAAATGTATTACAAACAAAATTCAAGAAATGGCAAAATAAGAGATAAGCCCAATGTCCCTACCCTTCATTAAGTAATTACAATAAGTTACCTCTTTGAAATTGAAAGAGAAACTGATTATGTACTGGGAGTGTTGATGAAGAAGAAAAAAAAAGAAAAAAATTCTTTTAAAATAGGTTTATAACAATTTTAACAATCATAGATATTTAAGTGCAATATTATACAAATATCTGACTATTACTTTATCCACATATTGCCAACAGTTGCTCTGAAATCGGATTAATTCTAACCTTACAGTAATGTGTGTAGAATAAACCGGTTTCTGTTTTGCAAGTTAAATTATATATTGTGAACAGACACAATATACTTGGCTATAAAAGCAAAAAATTTACATGCAATTTTTTTATTCGTTTTTACACACAATACACAGTACAAGTAAATTAACTCGCCTGACACTCCCTGTTTCTGTTTTTCTTTAACTCTGAATAACGAAATGTTCTGTCAAATACATATGTAGCCCTGTTTAAGTAGATTTGTTTCGTCATTCTTGTTTTTCAACAGTTTTTATGATTTAAGGATACTGCTGTTTGTTATTTATTCATTGCAGACATTTGAAAATCTGTTGCATGTCTTTGACCGAGTGGCGAACTGCAAGGCTGGTTAAAATTCTGGTATTTTTGTATCTAAGTTCATCGTCATACAATTGTCTATGATGCGAGGCTTTGGTAAAGGGGTCTGACTTTGATAAAATTTTAATAATGTGTCACGGTATTCCCTCCAAATCAATATTTGGTTGCGTCAAATTAATTGAGCGTTGTTGAAGATTAATGGTACAGTGTTATTCAATGTTGGAGCATAAACTTGCTTAATGTGTTGAAAGGATTTGCTCGTGCAAATGGTACTGTGCAGTACTTGCTTTACTGTGCAGTTATTATTCAGATTTATGCATGCATCATGTTATCTCAGGCGATGGGTAGAACTTCAACGATCACTAATGACACCGTGTGCGGACTGTAGAAACAATGCACTGCTGCGTGTTAGGTTGGCTGCTATGCTAAGCTGTTCTTTGAAATATATTATGCTAGGCTGTGTTTATGCCAAAGTGTTTTGATATAGAAATTAAATTTTTGGTTTTCTTCAAGTGTTATGTCTTTTTTATGCAATGAAACGAACTTCTGTATGATATGTTTTGTTTATTGCTGTTCGTTTTCCACTTTAAGCGTAGCGTTTATGCACGTTCCATGCCAGCGTGCCCTTTAATTGAAAATAATTCATTTTGAGCAGACAAAATTATACCATAACATTTTAATAGAACCCAAGATTTGCAATTAAGTGGACAATTCTCCTTACATACTACACCATATTTTCAGCTAGGCACTCTATGATTAAATATAAATTGTTATAAATGTAGTTCTCTAAATGCTTTTTTAAATAATTTCTAAATCTGCAACATAAAGCAATTAATAACGTACATGTTTTTTTTATTTCTATAGTTCTGAAATATATTAATAATTTTATCAATATTGCACCAAAAACATTAAAGTAAAGACCGCCAACTGCGCTGAGCAAAAATAGTCTTAATTTACAAGTTACTGTTGTGTTATTGTCATTTTTAGTGTCCAGGCTTACAATCTTAAAATCAAGGTCTCTTTTTGTCATTTTGTATGAATACGTTCAAACAATATGTATCATATATTTCAAATTCTACTCTAAAAAGACGTTATAATATTTAGTCTGATGGAAAGCAGAACATAATTCTGGAGAATTTTATTATTAAGTTTAAATTATCATTTGTCTATTTTTTATTATATGCTGTACACTTTCATATAAGAATTTAATTCTCCACAAAATAAACATATTGAGAGCAACATTAAACCAATATGAACTCCTTATTTTGCATTTATACCACATTTCAATTACAACAACACATTGTTTCGTAAAAATTGCCTTAGAGCATTTAGATTTTTTTGTCAAGATTTTAAATAAAAGTTGTCCTTTGTGATTACGTCTCTTCATGTCTATGTATGTTACATATTGAGAAATATAAAATAAAACTTGAAACTTGAAGTAATCAAAAAACATATAATAACAACAAACTTGTGGTATAGATTTGTTTTGACTGGATTACCAGTGTATCAAAAGTTGGGACAAATAAAAGAAAGAATTGGGACTGAAACTGGTGGTCTAAATAGTGGATACGCGGGGATATCTTAATTGTTGATCATATTTCTATTGACATAAATATTCGGCTTTTTTAAAGTTTGTCTTAAATGTGGAATGGTCTTAATTCCGCATTTGACTTAATCACCGCTGTAATGTATTTATAATAGAAGCTATTTGTTTTTTCTGATGTGCCTAGGTGGAGAATAAAATACATTATGAATCATTATACGAAAGAAAGTATGTAAAAAATAAAGTTTTTTATATCTTTATTGTGTGAATTATTTATTGATTTCATTTGTCAATTTTGAAATGATGAAAATAAAGACATACAGCATGCATATCTTTTATGTAAAAATGACAACAAATATCCATCTTTAAGATGATGATAATGTAGATATTAGGATTAGGAAATAAATCACAACAAAAAAATACCACATTACCACATTATATAATTAATCCCGTATCTGTTGAAACACAGAAATGTTGATTAGAAACTTATATGTAACCGTTATCATAAATTAAAATCTAATTTAAAAACGAAAATATTCAAATGATTTTGACATGCTTAAACATGTGCTTAAAAGAATGTTAAGCTATCTGCCTACCTGCAATATAGAACAATTGAAATGACTTACTTTCTTCACACTTTTTTCCGTGATATCCTGGCGTGCACCCATTACTACAACCGCCATAGAGGTGACCACACACACCATTTTTGCAAGTAGAAGAACATTTCTCCTGACAATTTTCTCCAAACGTCCCAGGATCACATTCTATCAATTATTTTAATACAAAGAGTTTCGAATGCGTGACATTACAGTTAATCAGCTTACAATGATAATACTAATTATAAAATCGCACAAAGAAACTAATATTTTCAGTATCTAGAGAATTTACAATGAAGAACTATTTTAGATAAGCAAATAAATCACATTAAAAAACACATTAATCATCTAATGGATGTGTCTAACACCGTGTTCGAAATAAAAGTTTTTTCTTTTGATAAATGTGTAAAATAGTTTAATGATTTCAAGATATGACCGAATATTTTTATAGTGTACATTCTATCAAACAAAAATTAATTAGATAGTTTTCATAAGAATTTAAAACATATTTGCTAAATCAGCCGAGATGTTTGTCAACTTATTTTTGATAAAAGAAGTGTATGGAACAAAATCATTCTGCTCCCAATGTCAATCCTCTCACCTTGATTTCCTATGTCTAATTTGGAATATAGAATACTATGTAGATAATTACATCATGCAAATTTTAAATACAATTGGAGGAATTGTTAAAATGATTACAATGGAATTTTTTTTTCAGATTCGAAGATAAATAATGTCTATTATGTAACTAAATGATCAGTTTGTAGACATTACAAACTAATATATTTAGAAGATATTGAATAAGTATATGTTCATTACTGGATTGGTTAAGTAGAAATATATTATAAATTACACGCTATGTGCACGTGTATGAATTTATTTCGATTGTGTAGGAAACCATAAGCTTATAGACCTACTTTTGAACCCCTACCTCGAACCAACTAGTACTGAGCAATGTAAAGTGTCTTGCTCCAGGAAACAACGGTTTGTCCCTTACGGGGTCTAAACCATGCGGCTAGCAGTCATTAAATTACCAGTCCGACGAGTTAAACATCCCGCCTTGCCTTAACAATTTTAACAATCCTTTTGTTTATTCGTATAGATAGAAATTTAAACATACTTCTCTAATCAATATATCAATAACTGACGTCTAAAAAGAAACTACTCAATTGATATCGTATATATTTAAACCAATTGGAAAGACTTACCACTTTCACACTTACTTCCTTGATAACCTGGCTTGCATCCACCATGACAACTGCCGTTAACATGATCACAAACATCATATTTGCAAGTGGAAGCACAATTCTCCTTACATTCTGCACCAAACTTTCCAGAAGGACATGCTATTAGGTATAAAACAATTCAAAACCATTAAACGGTAACTCTGTTTCAGATAAGAAAACGTTATAATCCTCTTATTGTTCTAACAATGACATATGAGAGACAAACAAAACAACAAGAACTACAAGAACAAAAAAGAAGAAACTCATTAACAGTGGTAGGTAATTAAAAAAGTGGGATGGTGACTTCCATTTTTATTTCCTTCAATTTTGGTGACCTTTTGATTTTTGGATGCACAGTTTAAGAAAAATTCACGGCACTAGTTTTTCCATTTTTACTTAAATACTTAAATGCAGTATTCTCGGAAACATTTTTAAAAAATATGTTAAAAGTAGCAATCTTTAAAAGAAAAATGAATTAAATAATGAATAATGCCTGTTGTGCGAAGACATAAATTCAATTTAAAATTTAAATTGTCAAACAATAAAATTGGCAAAGACATTATCAAAATTATATATGAACAGGTCATAATTCTGTCATGTTGTAATCTGTTATTGATTTCGCTGAGGATATAATGAATATTTTGTAAACAATTATAGCATGCAATTCTTAGGTCAAAACGGTAAAAAACATTACTCATTAAAAAAGAATTCGATGTAGAATCTTAGTTTTGATTTGCAAAAGTTTTTTTTTTATAAATTAGCACATTGTAATAAAACGACGTTTAAACAACAACAACAACAACAACAACAACAACAACACGTACAGTTTTTCGTTTTTTTCCCATTGTATTAATACAATTTGAGACGATAATATACTATCATTTTGTGATGAAAAGGTGAATATCCAAGTCTATGGACATGGTTAATATGATATTCTCCAAGGCCGAATGCTTTCATATTCAAAGAAATCTTCATATAATAACCGTATATAATCATTATTATCTCTATATTTGTTTTTTCGTCGTAGTCCGATGACTTTTTTTACACACAAACTAGTTTCAAATAAGCGGACAGAAAGCGAATAGTTTTTTTTTGTTGTTGTTTTCCTTTTTTCGGCATTCAGTCATTCAAACTTTATATCAGCATGTCTCCAGATACTTGCTAATTTCATTGAAAAAATGTATTAATTTTTTTAAATAAACAAAAAAAAAAAGAAATTTACACATTGCAAACTGTTCATTCATTCTACGAAAATTTACAAAAACATGTCGGAATATGCTTAAGCAGCCATTATACTACGTCAGTCAAGCAGTGCAAGTACCGTGATAAGTACCGAAAAATCATCCATTTACTGCATATAACATATAACTGCATATTTCCTCTTGAAACATGTAGCCTTAAAGGTTCTTTGCATCTATTCACCCATTCTTTATGTTGTATCAAGGACTATGAATACAATGGTCGTAACAAGGCAACATATCTGATACTTTATAAACTTCTGAATGCTTTTCCAAAAGCTAAAGTTTTATTATATGGTCATGTAAAAAGTATAGTAAAATATTTAACAAAATACTCAAGACAAAATATCATTTTTGCACGCTAATTTTATTTATCAATCAAATTTACCATTGACACAACGTTGTCCAGTCCAACCTGGTTGACAACCCATTTCACAATATCCAGTATTAGCGTTACAGTTTCTGTTTCCCGTCGCACAATGCTCACTACACTTTTCTTCACAGTTTCGACCATGAAAACCTTCATCACAGGCTAAATTCATCAAGAAATTACTATCGCATATTTTACACATATAAATGTATTACATACTTTTTCAATAGACAATGACATTATATTTCAATAATTTTTCAGTTACGTTATTAAGTATAATTTTCACAGTAGCCGGACTAATTTTTTTTAATGCGGATGACAAGCACGTGAAATAAATAAATGGAAAAATGTGAAGAAACGCATATTCATCCATCCATCCATCCATCTATCATATCTATCTACCTATCTACCTACCTACCTACCTACCTACCTACCCAAGCAAATAGTTTTGGTAAATGGAAATAACCGGCCCTTCATAAGGAATATCACTATGCTAAATCTCATATACAATAATCTTTAAAAAGGAGACAAATTTATTAGTTTAAATTATATTTTTTACCAGAAAAACAGTTTGTTCCATTCCATCCTGTCTGGCAACCATTTAGACAGTGTCCATCTGTATGTCTACACAATATATCTCCGCCTTCACAGTTACCACTGCAATTATTGCCGCAACTTTCACCAAAGGTTCCGATCGTACATTCTAAATATTATTTCACAAAAATGCACTACAAAGATAATTATCACATTTGAATATTGCCTAATGGAATAACTACTACAGTACTATATTCATGTCTGAAGAGTGTAATAAGACACGTTGTTCAAGTAGTAATAATATACTAGTTCCGCATGGATTTTTAGAATAATTAAGTAACCTAACGATACGATCTAGTAAACAATTAAAATTCCCAAATAAAAAACTCCGAAACTAGTTCGATTATATCATAAACTAAGACAAGCATTATGAAATGACAATAAATTACAAGTTGTTTCTTAAGGTTTAAGATGTATAATTAACACATTTTTAAAAGGCAGTTAAAACTTTATATTAATAAACTGTACTATAGATAGGACATAAATACAAACAATTACAAAAATTGACCATCTTGTTTGAAAAATATTGACAATTGAAGTATAACTTGTGTACCTATTTTATACAGCAAAAAACAAAGGATATGTTTTCATTATCTGAAAAAACGATTTGCTAGTTTCATAATTTTCTTAAGTTGAAAAATACTAATGAATAACAATAGATTTTTAAGAACTACAAATAAACCAATGACAAATGTCTTTGATCAAAAGTTTTTTGTTTATTAAGACAGGAACTTGTTATCTTACATCAAATAAGAAGAGAATGGGGTAAAAAAACCTTTTAGATTTTGTAAAATACAATAAGGGAATCATAATCTTATTTAATAATAATTATCTTTTAATAATACTCATCTCAATATTTGTGAAAAATATAAAGAAAGTTTACAATGCCTTTTTCAAATTATTATCATTTTAAGTTGTTACCCTATTCAATTTCACACAATTCAAAGTAAAAATTATGCATAAAAATCTTTAATTATTTCTTAAATTCAAATTCTATATAAAATGAATAAAAAAGGAAAATCTGACCAAGCATTAAAAAGACAAAGAAAAAGACAAAACATTGAAGAAAAAAAAGCCTCTGCTTGGGTATGAACCCACGCCCTATCGTACCGCTATGTCCTCACTAAAAATGAATACTCTTAAGAAAGAAGATTCTACATAAGGCATCCAATACCTAAAACTGAACCTTTGTCATAGTAGTTCACGAGTCAGAGCACAAAATTAACTGCACAATATCATTTGCTTAAAATTATTTACATGTTTAAGGAAACTACTATCGGATATATATAGAGGTTTTATTTTACAAAAAATAATAAATTATAAATCAAGAATTATGTTTTGCAAAACAAAATCTGCAGCTATTACTTTACATTTTAGTGTTTTCTTATTCTATATAATATGTCTGAGAATAGTTTAAATAATTTTAATTTAACATTTGAAGAATTAACTTTATTATTTAAAAGTCAATACATCAAATGAGGAGAACAAAAATAAAAAAATACTATGATCATAATTACTCGAGTTTATGGAGTACATTTCTAAGAAATACAAAAGTGCTATGTATTCTCCACAAGCTTTATTGCTAGTATTAACCGATTAACCCATCTATCGGCCACTCCTGCTATTGCTTTCAGATCCTTATTGTATAATCTTTTGTGTTTTGTTATCGTCGTACTGCCTGATTTATGTTTTAAATAATAATTATTGTTTTAAACATTAATCAATGCTTAACAAAACATCCAAAACTATAACGAGGTTCTACTTACTTTCTTTGCACTTGTTTCCTTGATATCCTGGCTTGCATCTATCAATGCAGTCACCATTGTCAAAATTGCAGACATCGTTGTTGCAATTTGAAGGACAATTATCTTTACAGTCCTTGCCAAACTTCCCTTTTATGCACTCTATTGATGACATTATGGAAGGAGTAATTACATTTTGTACAATATCTAATAAAGATGTATACAGGGGCATGTAATTACACAAAGCATCAATTATTTTAATTCCATGGCTGAAATTCAGGATGGATAAAAAATAATTAATAATGCATTATACTCGAGAGAAAAGTCGAACCTTGTACGGAATAAATTGTCCGCAGTTGGTTTACTTTTCATACGTGCTAGTGATGATTTGTCAATGAATGGGATGATGAAATAAACATCTTAGATAATTCTTAACGAAATTTAATAATAACATAACTGGTTAGCAAAATTCAATAATTTGGCCCCTTTATACGTCAATATCACGGTCAATTTGGCTCACTTGAAGGTCTTGTAGTTTTTCATATGTTTATAATAAAATAATATTATATGAAAATAAAAAGATAAAAAATGTCACTTACTGCAGAAAACTGAAAATAAAGAGAGAAAATGAATTAGATTTAGTCAAATTGCAACTATTAAAATATATCAATGGTGTATTTAATGTTTTTCAATTAACGATGGGTTATAACTCGTATGTAGAAATAAATTTAAATATATTTGCATTGATGTAATAAGCGCGAGGCTGCCTTTTGTCACGTTAAAGGGTAATTTCAACCGTTACGCCATTTTTTTTTTTTTTTTAGAAACAATGCCGACTCGTAAACATTTTCAGTAGGGTTTGCAGTCTTTAAACTTAGTATTTCAATAATTTTAACATGCGGCAATGTAATAAAATCTGTATCTAATTTATTAAAAAAAACAAAAACTTTGTTGATCAATAAATGAAGTTGGGCGGTTTGTAAAGAATGTAATTTAAAAAAAAAATGAAATATTCTATTAGATCTTCTCCCGCCTTTTCCTTTAGCCGGTACTTTAAACCACTATTTATCTAAATACACACCGAGCATCACACTAAAATCATCTTCATGATCATTATCAATATCATCAACAACATCACTACCATTATTAACAACAACAACAACATTTTTATCATCATCACAATAACACCCAATGATTGAGACCTTTATTATAGTCAATATTGCATCATCATCATCATCATCATCATCATCATCATCATCATCATCATCATCATCATCATCATCATCATCAATAAGAACAACACCATCATCATCAACAACAACAACACCATCATCATCATCAACAACATCATCATCACCATTATCATCGTCATCATCATCATCATCATCACCAACAACAACAAAAACATAATCAACAAGAACAACAACATCAACATCATCATCATCATCAACAACAACAACAACATCATCAACATCGCCATCAACAACAACAAAATCATCATCATCAACAACAACAAAATCATCATCATCAACACCATTATATTCAAATTTTACCGTTTTAGCTTATTAGCATTGAAATAATTGTAAATATATAATAATTGTTAATTAATTATCATTATTAACGGGTTTTTTTGGTGTTGTTGTTGTTGTTTGTTTTTCTATTGTATCAAAAATCTTACCGTAAGGTAAGAAAGAGATGCTTGCTCCTATGACATCACCGTTATGATTCCTTGGAACATATGACGAGGTTTGATGATTTGTACAGTTATTGTAAACTATGGTCGAACTGAGACTATCCGAAGATATAGCCTGAAAATGATATTTCATTATTTGTATGTACAATGTAACTGACGTGTCCAGTGTTGTAATAGAAAACTAAGAAAACAAATTTTCCGACTAGTTTCATACACACAAAATATGTGCAAATATTATTATTATCATCATCATCATCATCATCATCATCATCATCATCATCATCATCATCATCATCATCATCATTATCATTATCATTATTACTATTATTTTTTTATTATCATAATTATTATTATTATCATCATCATCATCATCATCATCATTTTCATTATTATTATTATTACTATTATTATTATTATTATCATCATCATCATCATCACCTTTAACATCATCAACATCTTCATCATCATCATCATCATAGCCATTCAATGAAAATACAGGCGACAGAATAACAAGAAAAACGATTGGTTTTTATTTTCATAAAAAAAAATCAAACTTGTAACAAATAATGTAACCACTTTTTCATTCTCATTCATGGTAGATTGACCGATAATATATAATTTAAAGTTTGATGACTGTATTGACGTTTAAGTAAAGATGGAAAAAATGGAATTTGTATATTAAGATAAGATAATAAAAGATGGTACTCTATAGTATTACAATTTGCTTAAAATATTAAGCACCGCGTCACCGACGAGATCCATCCTATAGATTCGGTAGAATTCGTTCTTTTCCGTATCTTAGGTTTATTTTTCAAAATGAGACACGGAAAGTGACGGAGCATACCGATTTTTAACGAAATGTTGAAATGTACGTTAATTTAAAGAAAGTCGATTTATATTGACATGTATTAGGACAAACTTACTAAACATGTAAACCTGTACGTACTTCTGCTGTCAACTGTTGCTTGTGGATTGTATAATTGTACGAACGTGTCTGAACCCACTTGCAACGAAGCAACACAATAAACATCGCCACCTAGCGATCAAAATTATTAGTTTAAACATATTTAATTGTATATATATACATACATACATACACAAATTTTCATAATTATACATAAATAAATTCATGTAAATATACAAAAGGGTTGGGCTAAAAGTTATAACAATATTACAATATTATCGGGGGGCTCCCATCAAAATTATTCTTCTATAGATATTACATGGAAAACAACAATACTTTGTTTCCTAATATATATTGTTACAAACATCAAAATAATTTCATTTTCATATGCACGTACACACGCGCGTATGCATAGAAAATTTAACATAATTACATTACATTTTACACACCGTATTACCGACACCAGTGATGACATATTGCTGCAGTGATGACAGAAATCTAAAATTTACTGATAACTGAATTGGTATATAATAGAAAAACTTTATTTATAAGTTTTATATACATTCATTTAACACCTTGCAAATGTTAACCCTTTGCCAAATATGTATTTAGCGTATTTAACTTCCTAACTGCTTTTGTTAAATTTTCTCAAGCTGGAAAAGTTATCAATGCGATAGATGCATTGAAGAATCACTATTTAATGACACACAGAAAACGGAATTTAGAAAGAAACGAACCCCATTAATTTATTCAATGCACATGAAAATATATGGAATAACCTTATGTCTATGAACTCAACAGTGAATGACCTAAGAGATAGGGCTTACTTAAATTTAATGTTTGTCAGTTTATTGCTAACTTTTTAGTGAATATTGGTCGTAGTGAATCCGGCCCTGTCCTGTAACTGCGTGACATACATTATTAATATCTTTTCTGTCATTAGAAAAATATAACAAATAATAGTTTAAAGTCTAAATTATGGATAAAGGTACAATACGAATAAAGAATGATTTTGATATTCTGTCAGAATATTAGCCACTTTCAGAGCGTTTGTATCAACCTCGAAAATCGTTTTGCCTACAACAGCAGCATTTCCACTTAGACTGGGTTAGTTTGGATGCCTGTAACATTCTCAAGAAAGACACTTTTGGTTGATATTTTCCATACGTGAGTGCTGTATATTTATGTGTATGCTAGAGAAATCTTAAACAAAACAAAAAACAATTTTCCGAAGCTGTCACTTTGAACCCGCCCAAAATATTTTATGAAACTGGGAAACGAGACCAAAATTGCCGTTTTGTATCTCAAGTCAACAGAAAGTAAGTTTGTTGCAATAAAATTTCTTTTTTTTTTGCGTAATAGGAATATACCTACCAAGTTTATAACCTACATTAAGTAATCAGTAAATTTTGAATTTCTGTCATTAATGGCGCCGGTAATACGGTGTGATTTTAGAAGGCGTCAAGCATATCTTTTATTAACAGGAACCTATTAAATTGAAAGAAACTACCGCGCTACTAAAAAAATTCAGGGTGTCTTACTTGCATAGACAATTGACTGTCCAGTACAGGGTACATCGAATGTCAGTTTTGTTTTGTCCGTGCACACGTTCATGTGTTCTTGATTACTGGGATCGTTGCATGATTCAGTTCCAGCAGAATTTGTATAATTAAACTCAAACCTGCCCAGAAGTACAGACGGACACGTGATGTACGCGTCGGTTTCAGAACCTGAAAATAAGAGTCCAGTATATGATTTATAATTAAAATAAAAACTTAACTTTAGTCGCTTTTATACACATATGAGTCGCGTCATGACAAGACCAACATAGTGCGTTTGCGACAAGTATGGATCCAGAATGTTCGCTGTATCAGTTTCTCTACTTGTAATAGAGAGTTGGTAAGCGAACAGCATGGATCCTGATCAGACTGCGCGGATGCGCAGGATTGTCTGGATCCATGCTGGTCGCAAACCTACTATGTTGGTTTTGTCGTGACGTGGCTCATATATTGAACATCGTTGCATAAGATGTTGAGCATTGCGCTCAAACCATTTTTATATGATATGTTTTAGCCAAAAAGAAATGACTCGTTTAATGTTTGTACTTGTAGTTGTTTATAACTATTTTTTCAACAAGATGGAGGAGTGACAGGCCGGCGTGTCAGTTGATCAAATATTGCTGTCACAATAACTTTCTTAGTATTATGTATCCAAAGAGCGTTCTGAACGCTGACCTAGTTTGCGGTAGGCAATGATCATCATCAGAATTGAACAAGACAATATTGCACATCTTTGTTGTTCAGATTTTAGCATACTGTTGTTCTTTTTTATTTAAATTGAAGTTTTTTTTATAATTACATCAGTAACGGCTAACAATTTAGTACTCCAAAATAAAAGCGCGGAGAGCAGAGGTATTACTACGGTGGGAAAATGGCACTGTAACAGGCTGGTGAAGTAGGGGCATCCTTGTACTATAGCACATTAGTTAATTAGGGAAATTCATGTAAATAGTGTAATCTGATTGGTTATTTATCTCGTAGCCACGACTTAGCTATCTCGTGGCCACGACTTTGTAACTCGTGGCAACGACATAGTATCTCGTGACCATGACTTAGTTATCTCGTGGCCACGATTTAGTAACTCGTTGTCACGACATAGAATCTCGTGGCCACAACATAGTATCTCATGGCCGCAACTAAGCTATCTCGTGGCCACGACTTAGTAACTCGTGGCCACGACATAGTATCTCGTTGGCACGAGATAAATAAAAACACACACATGTCACCTTTGTGCCACCGTATATTACTTATATTAAGTGGCGTAAATGATTCTTCAAAACTATACACGTTTATTATGTATGTTCGTCTTCTTAATAAAAAGTCTTATTGGCAGTATACATAAACAGACCTTGTTTTATAATAGTAACAAACTCTGCGTCTTTTGCACCGTTGGTTTCGTCACAGGCATTATCAATGGTGAATTCAGCATCGTCGCTTAGTCTTGGTTTAGTACGATGTTGTCCAGCATCAGCTGATTTTTCTGGATAGATATTTATAAACATAGTCACATGCCTATACCACGTGACAATCTTAGATCTGCGTCAATACATAGACGGTCCAGATTTGATTTTCTTCCATAACATTGTACTAATTTATTACATTTAAACGGATAGAGTGTTAAGCCTCCTTACTCTAGTGCGTTACGCATACAAAGAATGTCGTTTTTTTTTTTTTTTTTTTTTTTTTTTTTATCTTTTTCTTTTTTTGGCGAGGGGGCGGATCTGTATTTTACGGAAAAGAAAACCGCATGTTTAAGCAATCAGATATTCATTTGGTGACACTTTACTAAAAAGTTGATTTTTTGTTCCAGGAAACATTCTTTGCATGGACTATTCGAGGATAGAATATGTGGGGCTTTAAAAATAATGAAATGTTTAAAAAGATATGACATTGATTTTCTTCCCCACACAGATCCCAAAAAAGTCACGTGGTATAGCACCGTGATAATATTAATCATTAAAATGACAATGTATAATACACTTTATCAAATATATCAATATAGCAGAATATCATTGAATATATGTTGCAAGATAGTAATGCATTGTGTTGCAAAGTACGTACAAGTGTTATTGAAAAGTACAGATGTTGTTAAAATAATGAATAAGTACCAAAACTGTATGACAAAATAATGAAAACAAATATAGATATATCTTTCACAAATCATTTTTAGATAGATACTGTTAACAGTTGATATTAAAACAGACGAATTACGGCCATTGCATCAAATCAACACAAACGCTCGTTAAATAATATCAACACAGGTCCACGCGCATTGAATGAAACACAACATATAGACGCTCTTTGAATAAAGTACCCGCATTTGAAATGATTTCACAGACGCTCATTGGATGAAGTATACCAAATAAAAACACGAAATGACTATACAAAATGGCTTACCGTTTAAACGGTAATACGTATAGGAGACTCCAGCCGTTAGTTCTGTAAATTTAAGGCAGATATAATGATACCAGTTGCCACCAATCGCATTCGCAGACGATACTGATCTGAAATGAAGTAATAAACGAAACATTTAAGAGTTTGCGCCTATGTTCTGCTAACTTCGTAAATTATCGTTTTTAATTCTTAAAGGTCTGCGGGGTGTTTTTGTGCGTTTTATTATTATCATTATTGTTGTTGTTGTTGTTGTTTTAGGTGATATCAACTCTTAGTTAAGACGAGAAAAGCAGAGTAATTTAACGATCTTTCACGAAGTTATGACGGATGTTAATTCTTAAGACCTTTAAGCAAGTTGTACGCCTCCCTTTTAATTTTTTGGTTGACCTGCCTTAATTATAATTTAAATAAGAAATGCCCTGTACGCATGAACCAATTCAAATATGAATGGTACAAAATTCAGCAAACACAACAAACAAATGGAACAAAATCGCAAAAAAAAGTTTTGTTGAAATAACACAAACATCGAGTTAGTCTTTATAAAGGCACATGTACCTGATTTAAAATCTTTAATAAAATATTCTTTGTCATTTATGCAATGAAAGAAAAACATCTCGTCACCTAAGTGCAGTAGATGGTTACCTCCGTATATAACTTAATAGGAGTTAACCAGTTACTGCACTAAGGTTGGGGAAATTTTGCTTACCGTATAAGCAATTTCTTGTTCGTATCAAACTGGTCCTCAATGCAAGTAAACGTGTTCACGGTTTGAGAATAGAAAATAAGTTCGAACCCACTCACATCAGATGAGGTGAACACAATCTGACCCTGTTGACTATCCAGCCAGGTTGTACCATCAAACACGGCAGGCCACGTGCAGGCGGCGTCTTAAACAAAACATAACTAATGAACATAATTTATATGTAGATGATGTAAAGTTTTGTTTGTAAATATCAAGGGCGTGAGTATATTCACGTAGTACTGGGTATGACTTGTGGGAAAATCTCTTTTCGAAAATTAGGATCTGAGCCACATAATATTCTTCGTGTAATATCGTGTTAAAACGTCAGTTTCCGTGTTATACCCCGGTCACATATTCACGGAATACGCCCACGGAAGAGCCACGGATTAATTCCGGCATCGTCCGTAGCTACCCGTACTGGTCTGTAGCTCTCCGTATTGTAACCGTAATCAATCGTAGTAGTCCTTGTATATCCGTAGCGATCCTTGACAATTTTTGAACATGCACAAAAATTTGCTACGGAAAAATCAACCGTAGCGAATCCCTGCTAGTCCGTATTAAACCGTACTGATACGTATTGGTCCGTACGGAAACCGTACTAGTCCGTACTGATTCGTAGGCCTCAACCTGCTAAGGATTTCCACGGTTTGGTACGGAGAACTACGCATTTGTACGGTTATCTTACGTATAAGCTACGGTTTTAATACGGATTAATACGGCATTGTCACGGAAAGCTACGATCGTAATACGTTGTACTACGGAGAGGCAGGGATTAGCACGGTCTTATACGGTTTATTGCGTTGCAACACGAAACGGTACGGAATGGTACGGTCCACCACTGTTTAGTACGGATAAACACGGATTTATATTACATACTTGGGAAAAATTAATGGATTTAGCTCAAAACAGGATTGGAGCAGTACCTCTAGACGCTTGCAGAAATCATGATCACAAAATAAACAAATATCGTTTTTTTCGTCGAATTTTACATTTTTCCTTGATTATCGTACTTGATTCGGTGTGAAAAGATGAATATTAGACCTGTTAAAGTTCATTCCGTTGGGTAAAAAGACAAGATTTTAGCATTTTATCATTCAAGCGCCTTGTCCGGTATATACCGGAAAACGGTATTTAGTGTGGTGCTCCAATCCTTTTTTTAGTCACAGCCAAAATTAATTGCATCATGTGTTTTTTCAAGGGTATGAATACTTCCGTCTTGTTAAATTAGACATATTTGCGTGAACATTCAATAAATGATAATTGCCATTTACTGGCTGCAACTTTATATTGAAATAGCTCAGAATGCGGAGGCAGTGGTTGAGCTGCTTGATGACATGCAAAGAGGTAAAAATATATTAATATCGTACTACATTTCATCAGTAATAGAATAACATTTCATGTTACATATTTTACAAACATTTATTTGGATCGTGAAATTGGAGTAAATATATACATAAAACGAAGTGTCTCACAAGCCTCTGACGCAGGTCCTTGAGTGATAATAAGATTAAATAACAAGCTTTATACATATTTTTAAAACATAAACATTCACGATAATTAATGTTATTGTAAAATGAACAGCAAATTTCAAAATCAAAAGAGAAGCAGTATTGATCAACATTTTTCTTTAATGATAACTAGCCCATATCTAAACAGGTTAGAGAAGAGGAGATGGTTGACTAGAGATGGGCTATTACGAAGACCCCTTCATGTTTAGTATAAGGCTCTCATGGCCGGACCTGTTGAGGAACCGGCGTCCTTCACGAAATTTACTTTAATCGGACCTGATATGTCTCGGGGATCGGACGCAACGAGGTCGAATCCTTTCCGCCAAAATCATTGAACTCTGCAATTCGTTTTCTAGGTGTTCTTTTCTTGTGAGGCATTTAGAAAATGAGCTTGCAAGAGGTTGTGGACGGATATAATAGGTTCGTATAGGTCCGTGGCAATACGTTCTTCTCCGTATCAATTCGTTCTTCTCCGTATCAGTCCCGTACTAATTCGTACTAACCCGTGCTTATACCGTAGCAGACCGTAGTGTATCCGTAGTGCATCCGTCCTGATTCGTGTCACTCCGTACCAAACCGTGTCGGTCCGTAACAATCCGTGTCTCTCCCGGGGCTTTTGGCGGTAAATCCGTCGAACTCCGTACTCATACCGCTGTATGTCCGTACTGGAACCGTAGCGGACTACGGAATTTCACATTTCCGTAGTAATCCGTGAATGATTAGACCGTAGCTCTTCCGTGGCATTATCCGTGAATATGTGACCGGGGCATTATGCCGTAATGCTGTTATATTTATACGATATAGTAAAAATATTATCATACGAACATTTTGAGAACTGAAAGTGATAATGTGGAAGAATTGTATTTAACTTATTAAACTGTTTAAGCTTGACATAAATTAATTGGCTAACCTGATAACAATAAAGAGATGGGATTTCCGATGTTGAAAAGTTTTCTTATCACGCTTTTATGTATAGTTCAAGTCTTTTTAGATTTGCTTTTTACACATGTTTTATATCTGTGTGCGTGAAGTCATACATGTACATATAAAATGGGACAATAAATTTTAACACGTACCCTGCTTGAATTAAAAATGATTAGTCCATGCCAACAGTATAACATAATTTGATAGTCATGTGTAATAAAATTCAAATTTTCAATACAGATTATGAGATACATAAAAAATATTAAAGAATTAGAAGCTTAAAAAAACAAAAAACAATGGGGTCATGATGGCCCTAGATCGCTCACATGACCCATCAAACTCATCCAAACAATTACCTAGACAAGCATTCTGACCAAGTCCCATGACAGGTGAGTCAAAAATGTGACCACTACAGTGTTAACAAGGATTATCGATATTTGAGCAGTGTGACCTAGTTTTTTACTCAGGTGACCCATATTTAAACCCATATTGACCTAGAAATAATCAAAACAAACTTTCAGACCAATTTCCAGGATACTTGGATCAAAACAGTAGCAACTAGAGTGTTAACAAGATTTTTCTATTTTTAGCTCCGGTGACCTAGTTTCACATGCGATTTCGAACTCATCCGAGCAATTACCTAGACAAACATCCTGACCGAGTTTGATGATAATTGAGTCAAAAATGTGACCACTAGAATGTTAACAAGGTTTTTCCATATTTGGGCAGTGTGACCTAGTTTTTCATCCAAGATGACCCATGTTCGAACTTGACCTAGAAATCATCAAAACAAACTTTCAGACCAATTTACAGGATATTTTGATCACAACAGTAGCCACTAGAGTGTTAACAAGATTTTTCTATTTTTAGCTCCTGTGACCTAGTTTTTCATTCGAGATGACCCATGTTCCATGTAACCCCAGCAATGACCTAGACAAGTTTCCTGACCAAGTTTGATGACAATTAAGTCAAAATTGTGACCACTAGAGTGTCAACAAGGTTTTTCTATTTTTAGCTCCTGTGACCTAGTTTTTTATCTGAGATGACCCATGTTCAAACTCATCCGAGCAAGTACCTAGACAAGCATCCTGATCAAGTTTGATGACACTTGTGTCAAAAATGTGACCGCTAGAGTGTTAACAAATTTTTCTATTTTTACCTCCTGTGACCTAGTTTTTCATTTGAGATGACCCATGTTCGAACTCATCCAAGCTATTACCTAGACAAGCATCTTGACCAAGTTTGATGATGATTGAGGCAAAAATGTGACTGCTAGATTGTTAACAAGGTTTTTCTATTTTTAGCTCCGGTAACCTACTTTTTCATCGAGATGACCCATGTTCGAACTCATCCGAGCTATCACCTTGACAAGCATTCTGACCAAGTTTGATGATAATTGAGACAAAAATGTGACCGCTAGAGTGTTAACAAGGTTTTTCTATTTTTAGCTCTTGTGACCTAGTTTTTCATCCGTGATGACCCATGTTCGAACTCATCCAAGCTATCAACTAGATCAGCATCCTGACCAAGTTTGATGATGATTGAGGCAAAAATGTGACCGCTGGAGTGTTAACAAGGTTTTTCTATTTTTAGCTCCTGTGACCTAGTTTTTCATCCGAGATGACCCATGTTCGAACTCATCCGAGCTATCACCTAGACAAGCATCCTGACCAAGTTTGATGATGATTGATGCAAAAATGTGACCGCTAGAGTGTTAATAAGGTTTTTCTATTTTTAGCTCCGGTGACCTACTTTTTCATCCGAGATGACCCATGTTCGATCTCATTTGAGCTATCACCTAGACAAACATCCTGAACAAGTTTGATGATGATTGAGGCAAAATTGTGACCTCTAGAGTGTTAACAAGGATTTTCTATTTTTAGCTCTTGTGACTTAGTTTTTCATCCGAGATAAACCATGTTCGAACTCTTCCGAGCTATCAACTAGATAAGCATCCTGACCAAGTTTGATGATGATTGAGGCAAAATTGTGACCGCTGGAGGGTTAACAAGGTTTTTCTATTTTTAACTCCTGTGACCTAGTTTTTCATCCGAGATGACCAATGTTCACTATCATCCGAGCTATCACCTAGACAAGCATCCTGACCAAGTTTGATAATGATTGATGCAAAAATGTGACCGCTAGGGTGTTAACAAGATTTTTCTATTTTTAGCTCCTGTGACCTAGTTTTTCATCCGAGATGACCCATGTTCGATATCATCCGAGCTATCACCTAGACAAACATCCAAACCAAGTTTGATGATGATTTAGGCAAAACTGTGACCTCTAGAGTGTTAACAAGGTTTTTCTATTTTTAGCTCTTGTGACCTAGTTTTTCATCCGAGATGACCCATGTTCGAACTCATCCGAGCTATTAACTAGATAAGCATCCTGACCAAGTTTGATGATGATTGAGGCAAAAATGCGACTGCTAGAGTGTTAACAACAAAATGTGAACGGACAACGGACGACGGACAATCATCGATCCTAAAAGCTCACCCTGAGCATGCTCAGGTGAGCTAAAAAAACGCATATATATATACAAGTGACTTACAGTCGAGCATCGGGAATTCATCAACATATCTTACGAAATTTTAATTTGAAAGCGATATTTGCGCGCGCTGAAGTGATTAATGTTTATTTGAATAAATCAGATAAAAAGAACTTACATGTTTGTGTTCTAAAAATAATCGGCGGCATAAGAGGAATTTCG